TGACAAAGAGCGAGCGCGCGCCGAGGGAGAGCGACGACCAGCCGCCGCACGAGAGCGACAGCCCGCCGAGGATGCCCACGACAGAGGCGATCACGCCCGCGCCCGTGAGCGACATGCTGCTGCGCCTGTGTCGTGACTCGCGCGCAGACACAGAGGCAGGCAGTCAGTCAGTCGGCCGGTACCGTCGACAAGCGAGAGGAGACGTCCGTCCGTCTGTCGAGAGGGAGTGGCGCGACAAAGAGCTGCAGAGGCGCGCGGTCGACTCGATCGATCAAGAGAGGGAGAGAGAGAGAGGGGGGACGGACGGACGGGCGAGAGGGGGAGCGAGGCCGTGGGGTTGTCTGCTGGCGACGAGCACCAAACCAGAAATGAGCTCTCGTGGGGCCGCTCCGGTTGGCCGCTCGGTCGAGTGGTTTTTTCCTCGCAAGACGAGGAGCGAGCGAGCGAGAGAGAGAGAGAGGGGGAGAGAGGCGGCGAGCGGGTGGCCAGGCGGGCGTTTCGCTGGCGTGCGGGCGGGGTAGGGGTAAACTACCACGGTCGGTCATTTATGCGCGCGTGGCCGGTGTTGGTCAAGTCAAGCGCAGCGCGCAAGGGGAGGGAGACGTCCGTGCGCGTGGGAGTGTATGTGCGCGGGATAGACGGGCCTATCTGCTGCGCCAGCGCGTGAAACTGGCTTCTGCGCGACGTGCACTTGGCGCCTCTGCCACGGGCGCCGCGCCAGAGACACGCGCGCGCGATTGACTGCACTGGACCTCGTTGTCAGTCGCGCGCGCGCGCTGGCGTCGGTTGGGTGCGACACGCGAGACGCGCGAGCGCACGAGCGTGCGACGAAACGCAAATGGATTCTCGACGACCGCGCGAGCATAGACGAGCCGGTCGCGCGCGCGGTCGGTTCTGACACGGCGACGACGCGACGACAGCGTGCGGAAGAGACGGCGGCGCGCACGTGGGGTTCGACGACGTTCGATTCAGACCTTGAGGCGTTTGAACCTGATCCTGGTCACCTCATGCAGCTGCGGCGGCGGTGGCGACTGGCAGGTGACTTGAGTCCAGTATGCCGATCGGATGGTCCGTGCAGTAATTCAAGATCAGGCTGAGCAATTGATTCTTTATGCGTTAGAAGCTGGTTGGCAAAGAAGTGGAAATAGTTGTTGTGGAAATAGTTGTTGTGGAAGTAGAAGACGAAGGAAGACGAAGTGGAGGCGGCCAGACGTACTGATGATGTCTGTAAACACACGGCAGCGGTCGCCATCGCAACAGCACGTCGTGTGTTCTCGAACGGCCGACGCGCGACAGTCGCATCCCTTTCTCCGTTCGCGCGTCGCAACAACGACTGCAATGACGTTGGGACGGCATCTACGCGTAGCGTGGCGCGAGTCGACGAACGCGATTACTTTCACGAGGGGGTGGAAACGAGCGAGCTCAAGGGGTTGAGCGTAGCCAGAAGCGCCAGCCAGTCATTTCGGCGCGGCGACACTACGCCAGTCAATGTCCCTCCTCGACCCGCGTGGTGGTCTTTGTCGCAAGATATGCGCACTTGCGTCGCGGCCGCATAGACCTGCCGGTCGAGCTTTGTCGAAGACAGAGCGAGACCACTCATCTTCTTGTCCGATTGTTTCACGACATGCGCGAGTAACACGACGGGCGTATCCACTTACCGCCTCCTTTATGGCCACAATCCAGAAACTAATGGTGATTGCTCGGCGGGGGCAGACGTGGACGTGGCGAGACCTCGCGCTCGACGGCAGTTGCGTCCGCCAAGTCAAGTTGAAGCACTTGCTGCCCCTTTGTGTCTTCGCGCCCGACTGACTTTGTCCGTCACGTAGTCAGTCCGTGCCCCGGTGTCCGGGACTCGGTCCGTTCAGTCGAGTCGGCCCGACTGCCAGCAGTGGATTCCCAAAATTTCGCGTGCCCATCGTGTCTTCACGGACCGCCCCGTCGCTGCCCACGGTCGCGCGCGCGCACTGCCTCGTTGCGCGTCGTAATTTACGCGTAATTTACCGCGCAGCCGTTTCCCGTCGCAACGGCCGCCGCCGCCTCGTGCTCGCTGTCCATCACTCTGTATTTTTCTCTTGCTGCAGTCGAAAGGCGCGGGACACAGAGGCCGTTCGCTGCTCTATCGATCGACTTTATCGACCAGTGAGTGACCCATTGGTTCGTAAAGCAGTCACTCCGTCCGTCCGTCCGTCCGTCCGTCACTTCCTCGCTCACCCTCTGCCGCGTCGCGTTGTCTACAACTTTGGCTCGAGAGGTACGCCAGCCACTGCCACCCGCGATTCCCGTGCGCATACAAACCCCAAGTCAAACCGACACCCCCTCCAACACGCGATTTCGTTTCCCTTTTCGGGCCTTCCACTTGAGATATCCCACCTCGTGTCCATCCCGTAGCTCTACTGCTCACGCTTGCTACCCCCCGAGCCACTACGACCCCTTACCATGTCGACCCATCACCGCTGTGTCTCGCTCCCATTGCTGCTGCTGCTCTGGGCCGTCGTCGTGGCCACTACTGCATCCGCCAAGAACTTTTTCAACCAGTCGGCGGGCTACGTGATTGAGATCTCGACCGACGGCTGGAGCAACTACGCGGCCAACGGCGGCTGCGTCACGTGCCCCTACACGTGCATCTCGCCCACGGAGAGCTACGACGGCACGACCATCAACGGCAGCAACGCGACGCAGATCTCGTCGCTCCCGAGCATCTACACGGCCGTGCGGTCCAACGGCTGCTGCTACGCGGCCGACGCCACGACGCAGCCGTCGTGCGCGAACGAAGCGAGTCCTGCCAGCGCCGAGAACTGCGGCTTCCTCTACGGCCCGACGCTCGAGTGGCGCATCAACAACGCGCTGCGGCCGCTCTCGGACAGCCTCACGGCCATTCTCTTTGCCTCGACCGACTGCGAGAGCTTCTGGGCCGTGGGCAAGCAGAGCATCCGTTACACGAGCAACACGCGGAGCATCAAGGGCTCGAAAGCCATCCAGAACGGCTGCTACGGCGACCCAAAGGGCACGCCCATGGTGCTCAGTGGCTGCCTCACGAGCTCGCTCGAGTATAGCAAGACCAAGACGTACACGTGGAAGAACCTCGCGGAGAAGTGCGAGGGCCTCGCGGGCCGCTGCGTGGTCACGAACGCCGTGTGGGAAGAGCACCTCGAGTGCTGCACGAGCCGAACGGGGATGGCGTCGGACTGGGACACGACGTTCAAGACGTACACCAAGACGCCGACCAAGACGACCAAGTTGGGCGGCGCGGCCATCACGGCCATTGTCATTGGCGGCGTGGCGCTGCTGATTGGGCTCATCCACTTTGGCGCGAAGGTGCGCGACCGCGCGCGGCAGACGGCGCTCATGCGCGAGCAGGAGGCGACGGACGACTACGAGGAGATTATGACGCCGCTGACGGCTGCGGGCGCGGAGAAACAGCCCGTGGCGCTGCAGCGTGCGATCGGGCCGGCAAGTGTCGAGGTGTCGTTGCACGAGGGCGACCAGATTTACCACCACAAGAACGCCGACGACGAAGTGCTGTTTGAAGGCGACATGTACTAGGAGAGAGGAGATCACTGGGCCGTGGCCGTGGGGTCGTCTCGTGGTGGTCTTTGCCCCTTTTGCACGTGCACTCGGGACAGTAGTAGTGCCACGGACGGCCGCAGTGTCGAGTGCTTAATACATTTCTATTACGTACGTGGCGGTGTGTGGTCATGTAGTGGAGGAGGAAGAGGAAGAGGAGGAGGAGGAGGAGGAGGGAAGTGTTGTTGATAGGGGTTCGTTCGCTCGAGCTGTATTGTGGATAGCAGTACATTGTGTACGGTGAGGCTATACTGTACCATGGTACTGCTGACGACTTTGTAGGTAGTGCCACGACCTGTAGCTCGTAACGAGATTGAAAGAAGGCGTTGTCGTTGAACAAACCTACTAGAACGAGACGCTACACAGGATCCATCGATCATTGCATTGACTGCCGCTGGTGAGCTGCTGCTTGCGTTTGTGGTACTTTCGAACTCAGATGTTGCTGTTGCTGTTGCTGTTGACACGTTCCTACGGCTACACGACTGGCTGGCCGTCTCACGCTATGTATTTTCCATCGATCCCCTCTTTGCTCCGTTGAACGGCTCAGTGCTGCGTCGCAGCATTAGTTCACAAGACCAGACACATTGTCGCACGTCGATAGTACACGTTGTCGTCAAGATGCGCTCACGTGTGTCAGCTCGTGTTTTGTGTTGGATTGTAACAATCCCATGACGTGCATGACGTGCGTGATCTGTGTAGATAGCTAGTCATGATGTACTACACCACGTCAAGACGTGTCTGCTTGTTGACGTTGTGGTCCGTGCAGCCTCATTTGTTCAGCTACAGCTCTTCATCCTCGACGCGATCAAAGCGTCGACAAACTACCGCGTTGGGATCGCACGGCCAAGTTTGACACGCGCTTGCCAGGCGAACATGGCTACAAGTTGCAGTAGCTGGATCCGCCCCACTCCAAATTCCCGCAACACCACCAACAGCTCTACCTGTTACCTACGCGACTGCGTAGCTTTTCTGCATAAGCGCAAAAGACGTCCGTCAGCATATAGAACCGCTCGTGGGCGTCAACATTGTGTCTCAATTGGCCCTCTTCCTCGCTCTCAATGGTTGCAGGTCGTCGTCTACCGCCTAAGTATCTCCGGACCTCTATCTGAACACTACAAAGACAGACAGTCAGTCAGTCAGTCGTGAGCTCCGTCTCCTCGTCGACACGACGCAGTAAGCGCACGTCAGCAGACCGTCTCGTCCGACTACAACACGACAACGCGCGCACGTGGAATAACAGCAGCAGCAACAGCAGCAGCGACAAATAATTCGTCCGTACGATGTCGTGCAGTCGACAGCGCACGTGTATCAGCACCGCATCGCTCGCTCGCTCAATCGTCAACTTCGACGCTCGCGACATACCGCAGCACAAAGCCGTGTGCCGACTGTCACTCGCGTCCAGTCGCTGGTGCGTCACTGCCCACACGTCCGTGCGCTCAGTTCTTCAGCGTGACGCGCGACACGAACGCGTCGTAGCGGCACTGGCCGTACGCCAGAAAGTCAAAGTCGATCGTCGACTGCGCCGCTTGGATGTAGCCCCAGAGGGCCCAAAAGAGGTGCGACGCCAGCGAGTACGTGTTGGCTTCGAGCCGCAGCTGTTCCACGTCGTGTGCGCTCACGTGTTGCTCGTCGCCGTCTTTGCCGGCCAAGTACGCGCGACAGAACGTGCGCTGTTCGTCCGCGGTCGGGTACTTGCTAAAGTCGCCGAGGTGGGCGTTCACTGTCTTGTGGTAGTCGAACGCCCACTCGCAAAAGTGATTGCCCACGTCGTACCCGCGCGGGTTGTAGCTCGTGTACTCAAAGTCAATCAGCACGGCCTCCCCGGCCTCGTTCTTCATAATGTTGCCATACTGCAAGTCATTGTGGCTCAGGACCGTAGGAGACGGGACGGTCGCCACCAGCTGCTCGAGCGCGTCCACGTCGCGCGCCAGCTGCTCGAAGTCCATCACGTCGTGGAACTTGTCGCACGTGCACTTGCACCGCGCGACTTGCAGCAACTTCCGGATGCTCGCGAGAAACGTCGGGTTCCGGGGAATGTCAATGGAAAGTTCGTGGAACGTGCGCAGCTGTTTTGCAATGAGGCGCGACTCGGGCGCGTGTCGCATGCGCCGGTTCGTGTACGTCGAGCCGTTAATGAGCTTCTCGACGCGCCCATTGGCGAACTGCCCCAGCAGCGCAATGCCAATGGCCTGCTCGCTCAAGAGCTGAAACAGCCGCGTCTCGTCCACGCGCGAGAAAAACGACTCGGTGCCTTCGCCGTACACGCGCACGAGCACGTCGCAGTGCTCGCCGTCGGGTTTGTGCACGGCAAAGATGAGGTTCGTCATGGCGCCGCCCACGTGCTCGACGTCGACCGAGTCGCGCGTGACGTCGCGCCAGCTCGGGACGCACTGCATGAGCGTCGAGACAATGGACGCCTGGAGCTGGAGCTTGGCCTTGTCAACAACGGCCACGGCCGCGAGGTACGGCGCCACGACAACGACAGCGTCCGTGACGTTGGGGTCGAGAGGGTGCGGGGCCGCCATGTTTGGGAGGCACAAGTGCAGACACGTTGTCGCTCGTGCGCACGAGGTGGCAAAAGATAAAGTCCCACCCACGCGACGACGCGGGCGACTGAACGGCCCGTTTTTTTATCGCTTTTCTCTGTGAGAGACAGTAGTGGCAGTCGTTGGTGCGTTTGTCTCTCGCGAAAAACGGAAAAAGTCGGTGCAGTGAGAAAGCAGTTTGTGTCGATAGGGTATAGAAATCCACGTACTTGTGTACGAGAAACGCGACGCACTTGTCATTGACACGACGCACAAGAACGTTTTCGATTGAGTGAGTGTGTTCAATTGGTTTCGACTGTTGTTCGTCGGGTTTACGCGTAGATCGCGTGTTTTGATGGGCTGCAGTCACACGCGTTCATCGAGACGAAGTCCATCTCGCGGGCGCGTCGTAATGCGCTGTGAATATTTGATCCTGCGACAATGTGGGGAAGCGGCGCACTGTACCACGTTGCACCGCTGGCACGGATTCGTTTACTGAGTTAGGCTCGCGCAGACAACTGCTGTATGCGACCGAAACGATCGATTGTGGTCGAGAGATGGACGATGTCTCGATGATAGCTGTGGGTCAAGTAGCGCTCTTGTACTCGTTCCTTGCAGCCAGAAGGAAAACGAGGAGGAGGACGAGGAGGAAGAAGAGATGATGATGTGACGATAAAGATCGATATTCGAGGCACGTGTAGTTGCAGATCGATACCAAGATCGGAATGCATCGCCGCTCGACACTGCGAAATGCTCAACGGTTTGGCTGAACGTCCGACGCCGTGGATCAGTCATCAGCCTTTGCATCTGCGCTATTGGCGCAAGTGTCGAGTTTCGCATGCCAAAATCTCCGCAATCAGTTCCGCTGCGACTGCTTCCCTGCTGCCTGCGCCGCCCTCGTCTATGTCGTTGGGCTTCCCGCAGAAATGTCAGTCTCACTCCTTCCTGAAGCTTTGCGCGGCGACCGAAGGAAAAGACAGCCGTCCACTTGTCGTAGGCACACCGCGTTGAGATATGACACGTTCATGTTTGCGATTCTCATTCACACTACTTACGTTAGTTTCCACACAGATGCACGTACGCTTTCTGCTGTCAAGTGAGGTCGCTACGTAGGTAGGTATGTATTAGCTATTAGTTTCTTACTCTCACGCGGCGACCGCGTACGACCTCCAACCCAAGTAGTCAGAAGCGCGACAGTGCGTATCAAGTGCACAATGTGATTCTACACGCGTCGAAAGACTTCATTGTGAACCGATTTCGACGGCGTGACAATGCCGTCTATGACAATGTCCGCGTCTTCGCGCCAGCTCGACCGTTTGTGACGGAACCACGCAAAGGCGACGCCAGCGATCACACCTGTCAGTACCATCGCAGCCACTACAACCACTACAATAGCAGTGCCTTCGCTGGCAGAGGCCGTTGTCGTGCCTTCGTTCGTATCGATAGCCGTTGGCCGAACGTCGTCACGAGTGTTCCAGACGCAGCCCCAGGCGCCCGAGTCCACTCGCTGGCACACGCTGTCCATCCGAGCGACACACGCGCCCTTCCGGTAGCTAGAAACGGTCGCGAGGCAGTCACTAATTGCACTGTCGCCTTGCACGGGGCATCGACTGCCTGTGGGTTGGCCGCCGTCTCCACTACAAATGGGACCTGCAACGCAGAACGTCGCGTCCCCTGCGACGCTAATCGGTGTGCAGTTGCTCTCGCTCTTCTCCAGACTGAGCCCCGCGCTACGGTACCCCTTACTACTCGCTCCTCTACGATCGCCCGTCGTAGTCGGAGACTCTGTCCGGAAAGTTGAGCCACTTGGGTCAGTGACTCCACCAGCGCTTTCCACGAAATCGCTGTCGTCGTCGGCATCGTCGGCTTTCCACACACAGCCCCAACTCGCGTCAGCCGCTTGAGCACAGACGCTGTCGGTTGGGGCGACGCACTCGCCGTTCCGAAAGCTCTTTGCCGTGTCGAAACAATTGGCAACAGCGACGTCGTTTTTCAAGGGACAACGCGATCCCGTCGGCTGTTGCCCACGACCGCCACACGCACTACCGTTGACGCTGTAGATCGCGTCGTCGCCTTTGACGCGGACGTTCGTGCAGTCCGTGCGACTTTGGACGTCAACGTCAAAGTCGATCAACAGTTTGCCATTGACGGCTTTCAAAGTGGTGTCACTGCTCTCTGTGTGGGCCAAAGGTACCGCTACTTGTTGGTAGTGGTGGCTCATGACACTATGTGCTATAGGTGAGCTCGACATGTGAATCGACTTGAGAGTATCTTGGCAAAAGATAAGATGAGGCATACCAAAGTGCTACCGAAGCGATGCGGAGCGCCATATTGAGAGAGCGTGTGACGGTTCCGCCGACCGTCGCGGTAAACGTCGGCATGCGATTCTACAGCGCCTAAAACCTCATCAAGTACCATAAAGTGGGGGCCCACAACGTCCCATGAACGTGTCCCCCCTCCCCCCGTCGCACTCGCGTTGAAGGTGCGAAAAACGGGGAACTCCACGACAGGTTAGCGTCGCCGATGGTGCAGGATAGTGGTCGCGACGCAACGCACGAGTGCACGATGTACCGCGTCTGTGCGGTCGGTGGACGGAATAAGTGCAGATTGGTGTTGCTATAGTGGCTGATTAAGGCTGAAACCATCGCTTTCAGGAACTTGATAGCTGTAATCAGCGCAGATACGACCGTATACGCAGTCCCACGGACTGGTCGATCGATCCAAAAGCGTCTTTCGTTCCAAGCGCACATTCGGCGGCGCTTTTAAACTGAGCGTTGCATAATGTCGCAGCATGTCTTACTCTGGTGAGAGCAAGCGGAGCTCACTCTGTGTGTGACTGATGGTCCATCTGCTGCAGCGCTATCCGAGAATACAGAAAACAGGATGCGAGAATACAGAAAACAGGATACGCGAGTCATGTTTAGAAATCGCTTCGCAGCCAGAAGAGGCTATGGATGACAAAATAGTGGCTGGAACGACGGCACGCATGTCAACTGCTTCCAAGGAAGTAGGAGGTGCTGAGGCGATAGAGTGATACGTGGGACCGTGTGCGATGCAAAATCGAGCAGTCGAGTATGTAAGAGCGGTTGACGAGTACTCGATCATTGCTTTGCAAGGACGTGGATGGGGCTCAGCAGTCTGTGATACCAAGCAAAAGGATCTCGCAAAGGGGTCGGCATTGCACCTCGCGAATGCCTCCGACGAGAATCATCTGCGTCTGCAACTGATCTCTGAACTTGTAACGACGCGGATGCACATGTTGCATGATTGCCATACCGGTCAACAAACAATGCTCGGGATGTTCGTCAACACTGCATCGCGTCTCCTAACAGCGTCAAGATTCTCTGATCGCCAAAGGCCGAAGCTTTCACGTTATTCGCAAGCTTAGCGCGGGCCAAGAGGTGACCGGCAAGACTTGTCATACTCCCATGCAACCGCAAACAATGAGAGGTAGTTGCGTAGCGAAAGAGCGGCATCAGCTATCAATGTGATCACATATACAGATCGCGACGAGATCACTCACTCAGAGCGAACTCACACCTCCTTCTTTTGCCAGGGAAAGCCACCCGCTGACTGCTAAATCACCCAAGTGCTGATGACCAGTTGTTGTAAAAGCTCTCAAGGCCAAGCCATCGGTCCTTCAGCTACACCAGAAGACGAAGCTTTTCGCCTTACGTGCTCCTGAGTCGACAAACCATGGACTGTGACTACTCTGATGATGTGAAAGCGTCCCCTCGTGAGATCCACAGGCCACTGTATCATTAGAGAAGTCGAACAAGAACATGAGATTCTATACCATTGCGGAGCAATTATGACTGCTTTGAAGTGGTGGATGGACGTACTCCTTCGCGATCATTCCAACAGTACGAGTAACGACACATCAACATGCTAAGCACCATGTGTTAGTCCTTGTGTGTGACTAGCGACCTCGATGAATCCAATTCAATTGGACCATGGAGTGGGCGACTGTAAGTCCGACCGAGAGGACCAGCACACTGTGACCGACCACCGAGCGCTTTCATCGAGTGAAGATATAACAAGCATATGTTGGTATTTAGTGCACGTTTGCTCATGTTCACGGACGCCTTCGAAGCGACTCGCTCGACTTGGTAGTGGGCGATATCACGTGTCACATTCTGTCTTCAGCAAGACGAACCTCTTTTGTTGGTGCAAAGACTAAAGGAGTATACTATCTCAAGCTTTGGCTGAGCTCCGAAATGCAGCACAAGACAGCGCCTGACAGGTCGCACCGTGACAACAGACGTTAACAACACACACACACACACGCGTGTGAAATTCAGCTGACAGCAAGACGTGTCGATAGCGTAGTCCAGTCTCCTGAGCTACTCGAAAGAATCCAAATCACCGCGTGGCTAACCTTAATGTGTTAATTGTCGTAAATATGCTTCAGACACACAGGACGTTGCATATTTACTAGACGTTTGCCACCGTGTGTACAGGCACCTGCGACGCGTCCATCCTATTCCACGCATGAAGAGCAGCACCGTCTCGTAACTATCGTGACCACCGACTTCATCGTACGATCGCGTGTACGTTTGCTACAAACGTCTAATAGTGCGTCGGACAAGAGGAATGGCGCATCGAGTGGAGAAGCACGCCAAGCGTGATGCACCATCACTGCGAACGGGAAAGAAGTATATCTGACTCGGTAGTTCTATGCACAGGACATGATAGATACACGCACAAGAGGCGTGAAGCTGCTGATCCGAATGGCAACGTATTGCTGGCAAAGTGTCGATACTTTTGTACGTGGTGTGTCACTTTTCTCGGCAAAGGCTATCGATCTTCCCATGATCCTCATTTGGACATTCCAGATACATCGACCTCGTCCCTACGACGATGTGTCGGATCAAGCAGGACGTGGTGGCAGAGCACGCCTGTCCTCTGCAGGTATCCACGCTAGCAATCGTATTACTTCAGGTTCACCCGATGGCGTCTTAGGCGGAAGTGAGTCTGTCAAGGAATAACTATAATGTCATTGCTTGTAAACTGAATGACCAGAATATCTGCTGAATAGCGTTGTTTCACTACTCGCATGTCTGCTCTCTCTACCTGAGCTTCGCTTCCTCATCGTATATTGCGAGCAATTTCTGGTCGTTTTGTGCTGTCAATCGTGGAAGCGCAGGGACCCGCGTACCGTCGCACAGGGTAGGTAGGATATAGCAAAGGATCCCTATTCTATCTACCGGAACGAAAGTGTGCAGGTTGGTACTTACTCGCCAGCTATGCCATATTCAGCCCCAGGATCATTTGCGAACCTCTCGGGCGCTGGTACGCATCACAAACGGATAAGCAAATGATATCTCGAAGCAAAAGACTTCAAGAATGCCTGGTTCGGCTGAAGAGAGTTGTGTAAGCTCTGTAATGCTTGTTCTCAGAAAGCACGATGCTGATCTTCAAACAATGAAGAGCACTGGTACTCAGCACTACAGTGACTGGTGTAAAAGCATCTAGTTTTGTATGCTCGTAAGGATCTAGTACACCTAAAAGGCACTACGAGACTTGTTCAATCGATTAATGGCGCGATCGATAACTGCTTTCGTATGCGAAAGAGTATAACCGAACGTGAACGTCATTCCACGCATGACTAGTTCGTGGTACTAACCAACTGTTCGCTTCTGCGAGCAAGAGGTTGACATCGATTGTGAATGTATGAATCGACAAGGGCTGAAAATGACCTTTGATAAGCACACGCATCAAAGTGTGGGGCGTCATGGACACGAGGTGATGCATCTTGATGACTCAGCATTTGGTCGATAGCTTCTTCTTGACCTGCCATTTTAGTGTGTAAAGGTCGCATGGAAGCTTGTCTGCTGCTGTTTAGATGACCGAAGAGGGAGATGACGGGTCTCAGGAACTAGAAGGCGTGGGGGAGTATGGAATGCTTTCGCTGATCGTGTGAATGAGACGAAAGTACTTACGTGCGCTAACAGTTGACATCAGTCTCAAACTAAAGCGGTCGATTGTTAGTCTCTGTCCATGTTTCAAGTTATCGATTGACGATCCGTAGTGTCAGTACGACTAAGCATGCGGAAGGCTTATCGATCAGTACAACGCGCATGGCACCACGAAGTCAGCATAAGCTGAACGACCTTCTAGATCTGTCTGTGCCAACGCAGTGCTGAACTGTACCATACTACGTAGAGCAAAAGGACAGCTATCACGGTCGATGGGTTTCAAGACAGTGACGACGACGCTTTCGCCCAGCTAAAAAGCCAAGATCGACGGAGGACATTGACACAACGAGCGAAGAAAGTAGAAGCCGTGACATCACTATTGCTGGTAGTGTAAGTGCACACTCTTTCATACGTATCTGTCATACTTTTGAGTACCTCAACGTGCATAGATCGACACATTGCTTGTTGTCCGGACAGTTTGTCGATACGACATTGCTCGATTGACTTCTATGCTTCACTTGACGATCAGTGTACAAGTTGTGGCAAAGTGTCTGCGCCTTGATAATGCAAGAGAGCAATGCATGAAACGTTGGCACTCTTGCCATAGCGAGTGCGATCCTGTCAGCGCCGGCAAGATTTGTCGATCGAGTTCATTTCTGTACGAATACGACGAATGAGCTTTACAAGATGGACGTCATGCTCTTGGTATTGATCATGCACGTTTGGCTCTCCAAGCATACGGATGTCTCCCTGCGACATCGAGAGTCAAGACAACTTTCAGTTTAAGCCGTGCTATGACAGATGCACGACTCGTTGGACCTGCGCTTGCCTTGTTGTGTACGGACAAAGAGAGTCTGAAGGTATCGAGTGAAACTACATAGGCCGATTATACAGCAGCGTGCACATACGAAGCGACAAGCACAGGCAGTAGTGCTTTGATACGATATCGAAAGGACAGTACTGCAATGAGTTCTCTTTTGACACTTCCGTCCTCGATTTGGCGGCTGACGTGTTTGTAGGAAGACAAGTAACCGGCGATAAAAAGAGCTTACACCGCGTGCTCGTCCAGGCAATTGAGCAGACGATGCGATAGAGCCAAAATCTCAAAATCGTGGCGGACGGATGTTACATGCGCAAGTCTGATCAATGTCGTCTGACTTCCTTCTCCACAGCCATTGTCTGCTTCGCATGGATTTGCTCTTCGTGACGCTGATTGAGCTTTTGCAGCGACAAGAGTATGGGTAAGCCGTGTCATGTTCCAAATTGACGTTCGAGACACTACGGTACTTACAAAAAGGAATATAATACGAGATATACTGCCCCTGCGACTGAAGACTTTGCGAGTCCAAACGACGCATGACGGTACTCTTCAGCGCTTTGTGCTACAGTGCATAACAATGCATCATGCAGGCAGATCGAGCAAGTCTCGAAGATGTACGAATGCAAAGCTCAGCTTGTACCTACGAGTGTCTGTAGGCCACTCTCCATTCTTCCGTCAAGGCCAAACGATTATACCAAAAAAACTCTTAGCACCGTCGAACACGCACAAGAAGCCATGTGGCTTACCCGTTATATGGATCAAAAAGAGAAATGCAAAACGAGCTACACAAGCCAACTAAGCATCCGCAGCTTCAGCTCATTGTGTCTGCGAGAGACGATAAAAACCCAGTACCAGCCATCCCGTCCTTCATCAGCGCGTGTCCGTAGTGCCCGAACAGGTGCTGCTTATAATTCGCTTACGGCGTCTTGACGTCAACGAATGTCTGGTGTGCGAGCTGCGAGGCTTCCGCTGACTTGCGCTGGCGCTTCTTGAACAGGACAAAAGCAGCAACGGCTACAACGCACGCAGCTCCAATGCCAACAGCCGCGAAGACGCTGAACGACGACGAGTCGTCGGATGCTGAGTTGGGATCCATAGCAGCCATCACGGACGCTCTGATCGCAGGAGTAGTGCTGCTGTTGTCAGCGACTGAGGAGAGAACACAGCCCCAGACTCCCGTGTTGAGGGGTCTGCAGATACTGGTTTCGGGTAAGATACAGCCGGCAGTCCCGTAACTAGCCAAAGTGTCGTTGCAATCGGCTGTAGCCATGTCTCCCATTCGCGGACACGACCAGCCCGCAGGCACCGAGCCAGACCCACTGCAAACGGGTCCTTGGACACAATAGGTCGCATCACCCTCGACACTCACTGGGACGCAGGATCCATCCGGAGTAACGACAGCGGCATTGGTGGCTGCAATGGAGTCGTTGATGTTAGTCATGTTCGTCATCACCATCATGTCGTCCTGGTCCGTGTCGGTCAGCATCGGGTTCACCATTGAACCATTGACGCCAGTCATGTCCGGGCGCATCATGTCGTCCTGGTCCACTTCAGTCAAGACCGGTGTCGTAGTGCCATTGACACCCGTCACGTTCGTCATCACCATCATGTCGTCCTGGTCCGTGTCGGTCAGCATCGGGTTCACCATTGAACCATTGACGCCAGTCATGTCCGGGCGCATCAGGTCGTCCTGGTCCACTTCAGTCAAGACTGGTGTCGTAGTGCCATTGACACCCGTCACGTTCGTCATCACCATCATGTCGTCCTGGTCCGTGTCGGTCAGCATCGGGTTCACCATTGAACCATTAACGCCAGTCATGTTCACCGTATCAGGACGGTACATGGCGGACGATCCGATTGCAGGAGTAGTGCTGCTGTTGTCAGCAACTGAGGAGAGAACACAGCCCCAGACTCCCGTGTTGAGGGGTCTGCAGATACTGGTTTCGGGTAAGATACAGCCGGCAGTCCCGTAACTAGCCAAAGTGTCGTGGCAATCGGCTGTAGCCATGTCTCCCATTCGCGGACACGACCAGCCCGCAGGCACCGAGCCAGACCCACTGCAAACGGGTCCTTGGACACAATAGGTCGCATCACCCTCGACACTCACTGGGACGCAGGATCCATCCGGAGTAACGACAGCGGCATTGGTGGCTGCAATGGAGTCGTTGATGTTAGTCACGTTCGACATCACCATCATGTCGTCCTGGTCCGTGTCGGTCAGCATCGAGTTCACCATTATACCACTGACGCCAGTCATGTTTACCGTATCAGGACGGTACATGGCGGACGATACGATTGCAGGAGTAGTGCTGATGTTGTCAGCGACTGAGGAGAGAACACAGCCCCAGACTCCCGTGTTGAGGGGTCTGCAGATACTGGTTTCGGGTAAGATACAGCCGGCAGTCCCGTAACTAGCCAAAGTGTCGTGGCAATCGGCTGTAGCCATGTCTCCCATTCGCGGACACGACCAGCCCGCAGGCACCGAGCCAGACCCACTGCAAACGGGTCCTTGGACACAATAGGTCGCATCACCCTCGACACTCACTGGGACGCAGGATCCATCCGGAGTAACGACAGCGGCATTGGTGGCTGCAATGGAGTCGTTGATGTTAGTCACGTTCGACATCACCATCATGTCGTCCTGGTCCGTGTCGGTCAGCATCGAGTTCACCATTATACCACTGACGCCAGTCATGTTTACCGTATCAGGACGGTACATGGCGGACGATACGATTGCAGGAGTAGTGCTGATGTTGTCAGCGACTGAGGAGAGAACACAGCCCCAGACTCCCGTGTTGAGGGGTCTGCAGATACTGGTTTCGGGTAAGATACAGCCGGCAGTCCCGTAACTAGCCAAAGTGTCGTGGCAATCGGCTGTAGCCATGTCTCCCATTCGCGGACACGACCAGCCCGCAGGCACCGAGCCAGACCCACTGCAAACGGGTCCTTGGACACAATAGGTCGCATCACCCTCGACACTCACTGGGACGCAGGATCCATCCGGAGTAACGACAGCGGCATTGGTGGCTGCAATGGAGTCGTTGATGTTAGTCACGTTCGACATCACCATCATGTCGTCCTGGTCCGTGTCGGTCAGCATCGGGTTCACCATTGAACCACTGACGCCAGTCATGTTTACCGTATCAGGACGGTACATGGCGGACGATACGATTGCAGGAGTAGTGCTGATGTTGTCAGCGACTGAGGAGAGAACACAGCCCCAGACTCCCGTGTTGAGGGGTCTGCAGATACTGGTTTCGGGTAAGATACAGCCGGCAGTCCCGTAACTAGCCAAAGTGTCGTGGCAATCGGCTGTAGCCATGTCTCCCATTCGCGGACACGACCAGCCCGCAGGCACCGAGCCAGACCCACTGCAAACGGGTCCTTGGACACAATAGGTCGCATCACCCTCGACACTCACTGGGACGCAGGATCCATCCGGAGTAACGACAGCGGCATTGGTGGCTGCAATGGAGTCGTTGATGTTAGTCACGTTCGACATCACCATCATGTCGTCCTGGTCCGTGTCGGTCAGCATCGGGTTCACCATTGAACCATTGACGCCAGTCATGTCCGGGCGCATCAGGTCGTCCTGGTCCACTTCAGTCAAGACCGGGGTCGTCGTGCCATTGACACCAGTCACGTTCCTCATCACCATCATGTCGTCCTGGTCCGTGTCGGTCAGCATCGGGTTCGCCATTGAACCATTGACGCCAGTCATGTCCGGGCGCATCATGTCGTCCTGGTCCACTTCAGTCAAGACCGGGGTCATCGTGCCATTGACACCCGTCACGTTCGTCATCACCATCATGTCGTCCTGGTCCGTGTCGGTCAGCATCGGGTTCACCATTGAACCATTGACGCCAGTCATGTCCGGACGCATCATGTCGTCCTGGTCGACTTTGGTCATCGGACCGGAAGGGCCAGCGCCAGTCCCATCGAAGTCAGCCATTGTATCCTTTGACTTCGTCGAGATGGAGTGCATCGACTTGTCATCGGGCCCGACGGCGACCGTGCCCTGGTTCGTCTCAATGTAAAGGGGGCGACCTCCAATCCAACTCGTGCCCAGCAGATTATCATTAGCAGTCGTGTCCCCTTTGTCCTCGTCGTGCATGTCGGTCCCATCAAAGTCCACCGTAGTGGGCTCAGGACCACCTCCTGCGCCTGAGGGTTGGGTCACCACAGAAGAGTCGTCGGAACGGGCCGCAGTGGCCAGTAGGAGCGCTATCGCTGTCGAGACGGTCGCCGTCTTCATACTTGTCGAAAGTGTTGTCCCGATTGAGCTCTGCGTGCGAGGCGGAAGATCGCGGAATGAACTCAGCCGAGCGACACGAAGTCAGAGGAAGAGAGCGTGGCCCCACGCTCCTCCTCTCTGACCATACCCAGTGGTGCGTCTCCCTCTGGAATCGACCCGAGCAATTGCGTCGCTCCCGTGCGAGCAACAGCGCTGCAAAAAAGACGCGATGGGCACGACCAAAGAACGAGCGCGCGCAAGGGATCCGTGAGTCGGACAGGACCTGTTGGACAGAGCCACTGGTGCATTTTCCTTTCTGGCCCTTCCGTAAACATTCTCGAGCATGTTCGACAAACAGATGGCTGCTTAATAAAGAACACCGTGACAGAAAAAGACGGCGCTTACATCGTCACCGTCTGTGTCGTGCTTGGATCGTCCTCGACGGCCACGTTGGGGCAAAAGCGACTTGGGTACGATTACGCGCAGCTCAACGGCAATGGACGGGAGACAGGCCGCTTTCTGACCGTGGCAAAGCCCATCGTATCTCGACTGGATATTCCCTCTGACAGCGGTTATGTCGGCATAGTCAGCCGTCATAGTCCGTTCCTTGACCTTCCGCAAAGCAAACGCGAATCTGGGCGGACACTCCGGTGGGGGACCAGCAATCCGGCAGTGGATACTTTTCTGTACGCGACATGCCATTGTGGCCAGACAAGCAGGTGCAAGAAGGGTGTGGTGTGGGCCCACGTGCGGCTGCCTGTGGTGTTACGATGCAAGAGGTGATGCGAAGGCGGCTACTACTAACTGTGCCCACTTCAGCACGCGATCGATCCTTCAAGTTGCCGTAATCAGATCGTAAACATCAGCGCATTCTAGAGCTTTCGGTTATCAGCGACACTGAGTGAGTCAGTGAGTGAGTAGGGGAAACCAAGTTGTATCTCTGTTCAAAATCGAATCAATGCGCCTAACGATTAGGGTAAAAAAAGACTCGACCTTGAGAGATCCGACCGACGCGACGCGACCGGCTACGGCGTCACGACCTCTACCGCCGTCGAGTCCGCCAATGGCTTCGGCGTCGTCGTCCCGCGCTGGCGGTAAATGGCCACTCCAGCGATCGCTGCCACCGCTGCCGCTGCTGCCGCCACGGCGCCGATTACGCCCACGAACACACCGCCAGCCGAAGTTTCCTGGGCGCCCGTCGACTGCACCGATATGGTCTCAATGCCGGCCACGTTGCGGCTGCCGAACGATCCACTGCCGCCGCTGCCGTTCCCATAGCTGCCGTCCTCGTAGCTGCCACTGTGGTAGCTCCCACTCCCATCATTGCGGGAAGACGAGTCGTGGTGCGGGTTGCCCTGGTGCGGGTTGTCGTGGGTCTTGTTATCGTGGGTCTTGTTATCGTGGGTCTTGTTGTCGTGGTGGGACCACGGGTTGCCCTGGTTCGGGTTGCCTTGGTGCGGCTTGTCGTGGGTCTTATTGTCGTGGTGAGACCACGGGTTGCCCTGGTGCGGCTTATCGTGGGTCTTGTTGTCGTGGTGGGACCACGGGTTCTCGTGGTGCGGGTTGCCCTGGTGCGGCTTGTCGTGGGTCTTGTTGTGGTGGTGGGACCACGGGTTCTCGTGGTGCGGGTTGCCCTGGTGCGGGTTACTCTGGTCTGGATTGCCATGGTGCGAGTGGCCGTGCTCAGGCTTTACGTGGTTGGGGTCGTCGTGATGAGGCTTTCCGTGGTTAGGGTCATCGTGGTGAGGGTTGCGAGGGTCCGTAGGTACGGGTTCGGGGTGGTCGCTGGACGTCATCGCGCATCCCCAGGCCCCCGTGTTAATGACCGTACAGAAGGTGTCGACCGAAAGCTCACAGTAGTCGCCGACACTCTCGCGGGTGATATTCGAGTGGCAGTTGGCGATGGCAACATCACCTTTGACAGGGCACTTGGACCCGGTACGTGATGGCCCGACGCCGCTGCAGACGGGACCGTCGATGCAGTACGTGGCTTCATGCTCGACGCTGATTGGCCAGCAGCCGAGGTCCTTGTCGTACTTTGGCGCAGGGACCGACGGCTTTGCGGCCGTTGGCAAAAATGGCAGTGCCGCCGAAAGACTAAATATCGAGAAAGTCGAGATTTTCATGATGGCGGGAGGTCAAGCGTCGCTGAGCGAAGACTGACTCGAGCGGTCGAGTGGTGGTGGAGAAGGTGATGGTGGTGGATCGCCTTTGCCGCAAATTGCAGAATGAGATGAACGCAGTGGTCATCTCTGCATCGCGTCGCAAGCTGCTCGTGGTGCTGCCCAAGTGCGCAAGGCAAGTTGAGCGAAAGAAAAAAAGGCGTGAGGATCTGATAGCAAGCGCTGCCCCAGCGAATGTCGAGCGCACGCGTGAGAGTGCGCAATTGCTTCTATCTGGCGGAGTTGCTGGGAAATGCGCAGTCGTTGTGGATACGCCATATCGTCGTGAGGGGGTCAGCACGAGGGTATGAACAAGCTGCGGCAAGTTTTAGGACGAGTATGACTCGGGTTTAGTCAGAAAATAGAATCGGTACGCGTGGAGAATAATATGGCGACAAACGGTCTGGTAGAGTTCCGCAAAAATCGAGAAGGGCAGGTCCATGCGGTAGTCAGACTCGATGCCCACAACGTCATGTGCGAGTCCATGCGGTAGTCAGAGTCGATGCCGATGTCATCATGCGTTTGCATCAGCGCCAAAGCAGCACTGTTCCGTTGCGTCCAACACATAGGTCCAGCTTGTCCTCGGAAGTCAAAACTGCGACGATCGCTGCTGATGCCGATCTCACAACCGCCAAACGAGACAACTGGGGGCCGTGCAGTGGCATTCGTTGCGTTGCTCTTTAGATCTGGCGCGTGTCTCCGCACTGAGTGAGAGTCAGTGGCGTCAAATGGCGCCGGAACAGGGGCACGCGCATCTCGAAGCAAATGATGCGGTAGGCCAGTGCCACGTGCACGCGGACCCCCACAAAGGCTTAAGTTGGAGTCATTGTCACTACCACACGTGTCCATAGTGTGGCGCAGCCTTCCAACTTGTTGACGTGTGTCTGGTCGATGTATGCGCAAGATCTACTTCAACAGCTGATCTCGCGCATACATCGGCCACGCTTCCTGGTGCTCTATAGCTAACTGCTATTTCGAGCTTATTGACTCTACAATCTTGCGTGATGGATGGTGGCGCTGGTCAACACATCAGAGTGCAGTTGTAGCAAACATGGGTTGAACCAAGTTATGCACCAATGTGTTGCTGATGTAAGTTTTCTTGTCGTAAAGGCAGAGCACATACAATGACAGTGTATCACCAAACTCAGACGAGCGCGTTCACTGACGGCATACCCGACCGACAGTTGCTGTGTGATCTGGTAGTCGCTTTGACACAGATGGCGGTAGTGTTGCACGCTTTCCATATAGCACATATCGTCTTTGAGGGCTGACACATGGCTTGCCACAGAGGATAATAACGTACCGAGGTGCAAAAACTGTAGTGAATTCTTCCATCCGCATGTCGTGTCGTCTGTGCGACGCATACTATGTGTCTAAGACATGTACTTGTTGCCAAGCACTTGGTGCCGTGATACAGACCGAGCAGCGACTGTGATGGACATGTTGCGTTTCCAGGAATGTATGTTTGGGAATATGGTATAGAAAGAAATCAACGCTCCAGTGCATCGGACGTTTTACGACGTTCATCACATGAATGCTCCATAATGCTAAAGCTTGCCTCATCTCGCCGTAACATACCGGTTCAACGTCGATACGATGTTTCGTCATACAGAACATGGGTCTCTACACTTGCATCATAAACAAAGGTACCGTTTTGGTATGTTTGTATGTGTATCTGCATGGCTTGCGTCGTTACATGGCACTCGACAACGGTCATAACAATGCTTGAGTCAACCCGATTCATCTTCGCTAACAGATCCATCAAACAACTTCTGCTTCTGCTGTTGCTTCTACATCTGCACTGTTTTACGCAAATGTTGTCGATCGATGAAGTGCAGCTTTGGTGCCAGTCCGGCGAGTTGCCACAGTATGTGTGCGCAATCACAGTCGTTATTGATCACTTCTACGCGAGCATCGCTCTAACAAGTTATCGCGTTCGATTGATCTCGTTCCTCGTGTCCTCGTTTACCATCAACTATTGTACCTATTGAGCTCGCGTGCTTCCCCATCAGCACTAGCACTTATTTGCGCAAGTTACAGTCAGTAGATGGCGACGCTAGCTAATGGTTAGTGTGATGTGTACCGCACTACGGAAGCAGAGAGCAGGCACAGTACCTGTTTGATGATTGCATCCAGGCGTGTACATTGGATTCCACGGTGGCCGAATCATCACGTGTGCAATGAACGCATTCATGAATTGAGACGACGATAATGGTTGGTGTGTTTTGGATAGACTGACGTACATGTCCTCGTCAATTCATCACGTCTACGCGTATTTCTTTGTCGACATTCGCTAGTCCGATGTGCTTGTTGGTAATTATATGTGAAAATGTGTCCGCTCTTGTCGCGGCTGAGGCGAAGCTGCACGTCAGCAACATTTCATTGTATTCAAATCATCACGCTTTTGACACCCGCGATCGAATGGACGCAGCAGTCGTGGGACGACGTGATCTATGATCAGGTTCCCAGCGCGAATGTCAAAGGTTGAAAGCGCTACGTGACTGTATACCACATGGGCGGCATGTCGAAGTTACTGAACACCTTTGGCGAGGGTAAAGAAGCTTGGCAATGCAACTTAGTCGCCACGATTGACAAGTTGGACCATATTAATCCAAGCTGCTCAATCTCATGACGATTACAGGTCAGTTGACACCCATTTGAACACACATGAAGCATACGCAAGCTTTACATGTTCGAGACCACGTTGTCTAATAAATGTTTCACTGCCATAAGTAAACGCGCCTCAATCGTGTCGACGCTTGGTGTGAAATGTTGTTAGGCAGTTGACTCAGCTCTCTCTGTAAACGCTGTGCCAATCGTTCTTACGAAAGTGCAAGGAGCGGCAATTTCTCTACACTGTGGACAGAGATGGAAGAACATACGACAGCCTGTCATGTAGATGAGCACGATGTAGTGCGCAAATGTCCACATCTGTGCGGGAGATGTTCAGTTTGGGCAGATCGTTCACATGGATAGAGGCTGAGGCGGCGGTTTAGATTAAGCACGTCGGCTCGACTCGAATAAACTACAAATGGGTTGATGCAAAGTTCGAGCGGGCGTGATGCCTTATCTTACATAGAATACGTAATTGCATAGATCTGTGCATCTGTCACTTTGCTGTGGTCGTGATACGATAGGGCTTCTCCAGGTGAATGGCGTGTAGCGCAGGCTCGTGAGCGCTGATACGAATGACAAACTCAATTGCGTAGTCGTGTAAATACCACATTGTTGCAGCATCAGTGATCAGGACTAACTCAGGATGTTGTCGTGCCAGAGAACTGAAAGAATGGCTCGCAACGATACGATAGGGAGCACGGTACGGATGTTAGCATCCAAAGGACATCCGCTCGTGCAAAAGTCAACAAAAACATGGTGCGCTCAGGAAGAATCTGCCTCATTCTGCAGCTCATCTGCTGGGCGACCATTAGCGGAAGCGTTTTCAAGCCATTGCCGCAAGGATGAAGGTGTTTGGCATGCCACAATGATGTTATCCGGTAACACAGCGGCTTTCGGTCGATCTCGTTCCTTGCGAACGTTCAATGGTCCACCCCGTACTCTGGTCATTGGCCTTTGTAGTATAGCTTTGGTGATAAAGGTGAGATGTAATGCGAGCACAATACATTGAGCCAGCTGTAGCACGATAGGAGTACTTCCCACTTGGCGTTGTATACACTTGGCGTCTACTTGCTCACAGAGCTGTACTTGTGCTTTTGTGTGATTCAACTTACGTGCAAGCTGCCATTTGACAACCATGCGATTCGGTTGCGTAGAGGAATGACCGACTCTGTGGCATTACTTCGCTTCTCGCATCGTTGCAAGCGACAAGTTCGCACGCATCTGCCCAACGTCCAGGTTTGTATGCTTGTCAACACGAAGAGCCAGCACCGTGCACCACGTATTACCAAAAAGAAGAGTCAGCGTCGAGTCTGACGCAGCGCGGCAGCAACGACAACGCTACAACGTCCGTTCGATTGACGATCTCGCTGACTAGCCATTCGAATCCCAGCGCTCTCAAGGCGAGACAACCGACTACGTGTGCATGACGCTGTTGTATCGTATCAACATACCGACTATGGTATATACAGCACGACAATGAGGCGCGCTCAAACTCGCAAAATTGTCGTCCTGTACACCTGTCGTTTGTAGCACGTGGTGTGTGCACCAGACTTTACAGCCCACACACACAGAGCAAAGGCTTTTGCCTCCGAGGCTTGAGACCAAATGTAAGGTGTCCCCGCGCAATGAGGCGCCTTCTACCGCCTTCGCGGGTCCAGGGTGTGCGTGCAGAGCTTTAGCTGAAACGAAACTGCGTCCTAGTTGTACCCATCTACACAGGAGCTACTACAAGTACTACCACTTACTGCAACAGCTTTTTCCAATATCTTTTGCGTGTCCGAGAACGCTCTAACCTGCGCGCGCGGCTTACGCCAGCGAGACTCAAGAAACGGATTGCACTAGCTGTTCAAATGCCGTCACAAAAGAAAAGTATTCACTGGTCAGTACAAACGTAGTGCAGCGTGTTCAAAATTGTTCGGTAGCGTTCATTGGTTCGTCCTGAGGTCGCTCGGGATGCGAAACGTCTCAAATATGTCTCTTTGTCGCCACTTGTGGCTCGTGACCGCGAATAAATAGCGAAAGTTTCGCGTCGAGCATTCAAGGGAACGTCGTGATCGAAGCGGGTGCGGACCTCCTGCAGGAACCTCAATGGCTCAGATGTGCGCCGTGTAGACAAAGTGCTTCTTCGTGTCCGAGCGCTCCCCCGCCGGTCGATTGGGCGAAATCATCACTTCGTGGAGCTCCACCGTCTTGGGCCGTCCGGCCTTCCACGTTCTCACGGCGACCAGGACCGCCACGACCACTGCGATGCCGCCACCCGTTACCATGAGAATCCCTCCGTTCGTACTCGACGGCGAGCCTGCGAGCTGATCGTTCGCGTCAGTCGCTGCGACCATAGAAAGTCGCGTCATGACAGCAACGAGAAAGGTGATGGCGAGCGTAGTAGCCGACATCGTACACGTCGAGTGGGTGAGAGGGCTTGTGGTTGAGCGCGAAGAAATGCCGAATGAGACGATAGCGTTTCTGCCCTTTGGTTCACATCAATCATGCGATGGGACTATCCAGTATCAGATTGAAGAATTTAAACTTGCTCGTTGTATGCACATGTCGTTTTTGCAGCCTCGCGTGAAGTATATCACGCGTTCGAGACAATCGCCAGTTCAAGGCACGACGACGCACTGTCGTTACTGGACGGAATATTTGTTGACAGTGCCACAACGGCCCGATCGCCGTCGCATTGCGCCCCGTGCGTGCTCGATAGTCACGGCGTGGCGATTCATGCGCGGGGCCGGCCGTCTTGTGACCAGACGTGAATCAAGGCGCCCTAACGGAAGCATAAGATAAAGGCCATTTTGCCCTCTTGAACGCCCTGTCAGCCCCGTAATTGTAACGATCGGACTCGCACAAAGACGGACGGCGGTATCAAAAGGGGCGCACACTGCGTTCACAGTCGCGACGGCGATAGGTAAACACTGCTACGGTCGTATTGGGGCCCGTTCGCTCGCGACGTACCAATATTACTAGCGCCAACGTCAGCGCAAAGCGTGGTACGTAGCATAACCCGAGTAGATCTCCACGTCCTTCTTGGACGCATCTCGGTTTGTTCGCGCAAGAAAAAGAAGAGAGAGACGTAGCACGTTTCGACGTCCACCCCCTTCAGCCAGCTGCTTCATTCCCGACGGTGGAAGGTAACAAAAATGGGCGGGAACCGCTGGCGTTCAGGACAGCTGCCCCCGCCCGCTTCAGCTGAGACCAGTTGCAATGTAGCGCGGCCCACGGGCTCTTTTTGCCTTGCAGGAAGACAGATGGCGGAAGAAGTGTCTCGACGATCGAGTCTTCCGCGATTTTTCAACCCGTCGACTTGTTCTCGAAGTCTGCTGCTATCCCGCCACGACAAGCAGCGCCTTGTGGGAGTCGCGCGACGTACATGGCGTCGTGATTTACGTCTTTGGTACGACATTGAACCGCGTACTTGTTCGAAAGCCAGTCAATCGCTTAGCGCACGTCCTCGATGGAGCAGGTGCACTGTTTGAGTACAGAGCGATCGACCGGTACGAGCTCGCAAAGCTATGACTATGGTCGGTCTCTTCCTGGAAACGGTGGCCACTCGCTAGGCGCCTAGTTGATCGACGAGCAAACACATCGAGGGAGAGCTCTAAGTGGCCGTCTGCCTTCCTACAGCTAGACTTCATATACAGCGCAACATTGTCCTGGCGTATGATAGCGCTACTTGGTGTTGTCCAACGACATTTTGTTGCGAATGCCGCTCGATACGACAAGCAGAACGTCCTGCGTGTGCAATCATAGCATCGTCTGATGCAGGTTTTCGTAGCACACCAGGTGCTTTCAAGGAGACGCGGTGTGCGTAAAGCCGCGTGTGTGATCGAAAAAGTCGATGAGCGTCGAGTGGCGTCGAGGTGGCGTGCTTTCGCGCGTCACCTTTATCTACGGTCATGTTTACGGACGCGACGTCGTAGCTGGTCAGCGACTTCCTTTGCACGTGGATGTAACTTGGCTACAAGTGCTGCTGCTCTCATACAAAGCAGTGCACAGATTGCGCTTGAGCAAGAGTACCGAAGAGCAGGATAGACACTTGTGTCCATTTGTTATACCACTAGCTCGACAGCACACACATCATATCGTCAGTAGACATCACGGCGACTGCAGTCGGGTGTATCAGCGCAATGAAGCAGCGCACGTTCTCACTATTGTGAGCACGAGCGCTGTCAACCGCGGAAGGATCAGCGCATCTGATGCATTTGCGACACGGATTCGCGTGATGTGTGCCAATGTACTTTTCTGGAGCTGTAAGACGAACTCGCCCTCGTATCGTCTGGTGTTTGATCAGCGTCAACGAAAACAAGTGGCGTACCGATGTCTCACGCCTGCTCAGGCCCTGGATAACCCTTGAAGTGCTGACAAAAAAGCGCGTCGTTTCGCATTTGAGAAAGTCGAGCGTGTCTCGGTCATGTCCCGTACATCTGAACTGCAAGCAATTGAGACGGCAGAGCGGTCAGCGACGTGTGTATCTGTCAGGTCTTCGCGTGAGCATTACTGGACTCCTATTGTTCGATAGCAACGGGGCGTTCTCAGTCTTATAAGCATAAAGAGCGGACGACCGTGGCCATTGCAATTTACGTGATTATACCGTGTAAGTAATAACGACGCATGGAGGCTGCAGGATCAAGAGCTTAGCCAAATAGGAGCGACAATGACGGAAGGGACTTGCGCCGTTCATGCGCTGGTATTCTTCTTGAAGAAAACGAAAGGGTGTCAGCAATCGACCATAACGTGAGCGATTGGCAGTAGATATGAGATCCGCGGACCCCAACAGAGCAAACGTAGTTAAACAGAGCAAACGACGACGTCAAATCTTCATATATTTGGTATCCACTCATAGGAATAAGGGAGGGCAAAGGTCTAGGATCTGTTTGTTACCAGAGTATCAAGTTTTTCAAGGCAATATGACCACAGTCGGCTTCTTACCTTTCCCGAGATGTCCTTCTTGGTATCGTTGAGGCCTTCCTTGCGATGCAAAAAACATACGCGTTTGGATTGAAGGAGACAGTCGGTCTCGATGTGTCGATTACGCTCGACCGTAGATCGGGGAAGCACGAGGTCAATAAAACTCTGTAAAACTCATGCTTGTACGCTCTATTGCGTGAACGATCTTGGAAGCCAGGGTCCCAATCCTTTACCCGTACACGAGTGTCTGACAAAGAAAAAGGAATGCTTGCTTGAACAGGGCGAATCGACAGAACCGACAGGCTCTCGAGGCCTTCATTGTACTTGCATTTGCCATCCACAGCCTGACCTGTATACATAATGACGAGGTAGGCGTAGGATGCCAAGGACGGTGGTCAATAAGAGAAGTTGCAAGCTTAGACTGCTACCGATAGCGTGAGTCAAAGGGAATCACATTATGTCACTGGTTTGACCTCGAAGTTCCTTACCAGGAAAATGTAAGGGTAGCAATGAGTAACGCAAGAATGCGACACCATATCATAACAGCAATGAACAAGTGCATTATTTCGTGAAGACATAGAGCTGCGGCACCGCGTATCAATGAAGGACAACAAGTGTGTTATATTTAGCTCGACATTGCTGCGACTCAAGTCGTGATAGTTCTTTTGATCCAAATGAAGACACTTGGTCGCGCTGTGTCTTTAACGCGAGGACAACCAACGTAGCGTAATCCGCTCTCCTGACTATGTGTAGTGACTATTGTGATAAGGTATGAGTGGACGCAGTGCAGAGGACGGGTCCGACGGAGATATGTCTACAAGTAATGAGCTTGAAGGTGGTATGGAGAGTATACAGATGGGTCTTTATGGTGCCTTGAGGCCGTCTACACCTCATTTGTTTTTATCGCCGGCGTGCGCTATTGTTACGACCCCATAATAAATAACGACACTCATCTGAATGTAAATGTGAATATACCCCGGCAGATAAAATTCAGCAATATAACGCTGGAAAGTAGTATTCGGCAGCAGTTAACAACAGTACACTGCTCGTGGGCTGATATGTCCCGTGCAAAGCAATGAATTAGCAGTAGATTTGTGCAAAAATCCAGAATTCAGCACTATTTCTGAAACGAGACCACGCAAAACACAAATAGTGTTGAGTATACTGTTTGTTTGTGTAGCTGGTGGGTTAGGTAATTGCATATGTGAAGCATTTATTAAAACATTAAGATGTCTTCCAAAACGGCGAAGATTGAGATGGAAGCGATTTACGGTACCAACGTACTGTCGAAGAGCCAAAACATCATACGGGCGCTGCTGCGACTATGATAGTACGACACTACTAATTAAAATCAAAACCTACAGTGCAAGGTCAAGAAGTGTGGTAATGGAAGCAAATCGTATGTGTGCCCACAAGTCGGTGCCCGTGGGAACTCCGCGTGACGAAGCGATAGCGGAAGGGTGCATCTTCTGAGCATTACATATTATCGATAAACGATAGTCACTCGGTTGTGTGCATTGCGACTGCTGAGCCTTCATCAAGCCAAAATAAGCTTCTTTTTACTTTCAATGGTGCGATTGAAGGTTACAAGGGCGTTAAGCGCAATGCAATTGTGGCGCTAGTCCGCTTCCTTGCCTCCATAAGTATTAAACCAAGCCTTACGAAGCCAAATAAGCGGTCACCTCCATAAGTATCGAGCCAATACTTACCAAGCCATAAAAAGCGGTAGTAAAAGAGATGGAGGGCGAATGAAAATCATCTTATGAGCTTCTAGCCCGGCATTTGGTTGAATTAAGGCGCGTCAATCGATCCAGCTCTATAGCGCTCGAAGTGGACCAAAACAATGAAGTTGTCGCTTGTTCGTGACCTTTAAAGTGTCTGTTAGCAGACATTATTACACAGTTCCAGTGGTTGGCTTTGATGGAACGCATTCGCGACACCACAAATTCAATGGCGTGATATTTTCTCTAATGTGCCATGACTGGAACGAAAAAATCGTTACGCTAGCCACTGAATTCGTGAATGTGAAGAACAAGGACATCATTTCGTGGTTCTTCATTCATTGTACAAAGGCTATAATAAGTTTATTGAATGTCGCGATAATGTGTGCTCGTGGGAATATCCAAGATGTCGTGAAGCAAGTGAATAAAATCACAGGTAAAGACCTCCACATACAATGCTGTACCTTGCACACCTTGCGCATCATCAAACGCAATTTTAATATTTTTTGTACTTACTTCGAGAATGCCGTGTGAACGTTTGTCAGCAGAGTCACAGATCGACTACAACGCTGTATTAATGGCAGTACGAACGAAGTTTGGAGATGATGTGGCCGAATAAATTGGAGATATTTGTTTTATATATTCGTCTGTATTTGCGAATATGCAAATGGAACTTATTGATGAAAACATAAGTCTCAGAAATTACACGACGTCGAGCACAGAATTAGCCACAAGCACGCATCACCAAGACCGCCTCGCACCGCAAA